ATATTATCATTATCATACATTATCATTATCATTATTAAGGTTATTATTATTATTATTATTATTATTATTATTATTATCATTATCATTGTTATTGTTATTAAGGTGAACACAATAATTGGGTTGCAGTCCTTAACGTAAGATATGGACCACAAATTGACCAATGAAATCGCGTGAATTACCTTGCTATATAATAATTATTTACTATCAAATTTCTTGTTTCTAGAGTCTCCACAACGTTTCGCGTTCGTTCAGCACACAAAGTAGAAGTGACAGACATGATATTGCTCAGACACCTCGCCGTCATCCTGGTTATTTACATCATACTGCTGTTAGTATGGACGGTGACTAACTCATCGCACATCAAATTTGCCAACACAGTGTCTGATCTGATTTACGTGCGATGTTCAACTAGTTGGTTCGACTACACTGTACTCTTAGGTAATGGACGAAAAAAAATCTTTAGGCCATTTCTTTCTTAGCCAGAAGTTATTTACAATATATGAATAAACGTTGCCATCGCCAAACGCGATAGACAATAGGCGATAAGCGATAGGAGATAGGTCATTCCAAGATCTAAGAATAGCTGGAATGACTTGTGTTTCTGCTTCTTATTCTCGTCAAGAACATGGACCTTAGTGTTGAGACTGATTCAATGTCCTCTGTATTGAACGAAACCATTTCCATGTCGGAATGACCTATCGCCTATCGCCTTTGGTAATGACAACGCTTATTGAAATAAGTATATGTACCTATTCATGTTGGGCGTGAAGTTCCCATTTCATTCTCAGTACATTGTATCATGTCTTTGTTGGGTGGTAACGCTTTAAGGTCCGTTTACACAGGATATCTTTGCAGCAATTAGAGGTTCAATTTTTGTAGTGTTCTTTGAAAATATTTTAAATTTTGTCATGTGCTTCTAAAGAGGCATTTCTCCAGGTAGTCTTGGTGTTTTGAATGAAACGAATTAATCCTTTACCATTCTTGACTATGACCAAAATCTTACAAAACTCGCACATCAAATTAATCGTTACAAGGATCGTTCGTGTAAACGGGTCAAAGAAGATACATTAATATTGATATCATCATCATCATCTTCTTGTATCATCAGCATCAGCATCATCATGTATCATCAGCATCAGCATCATCATTATCATCATGTGTCATCATCATGTATCATCGTCATCATCATCATCATCGTCGTAACCATCATCACTATCATCATCATCACCATCATCATCATCACTATCATCATCATCACYATCATCATCATCGTTTTCATTATCATCAACATCATCATCATTCTCATCATCACCATCATCACTATCATGCATCATCATCATTATTGATGTGACCTTATTCGCAAAGGAATGACTTGTATATTTGATCTGATATGAGACAGCTTCATGGCCAAATAAAATTATTCTAAAGTAATGAAATGCTATTCTTCTATTTCCCACTATGTATCCAGGTAATATATTGCTGTTGATATTCGCACTGTGGTTGTGTTATCGTGTTCGTAAAGCCCCGTCAGCTTACAGTGAGAATCGTTTCATCAGTTGGGCCATCTACAACGCCATGTTCGTCATTTGTTTCTTCGCAATACTCAGGTAAACAACCAACAAGAGATTCAAGCCAACGCAAGCCTAAGCACAAGCACAAGACAACGGAAGAAAAAAAAAATCTTCCGTTCTCTTGCGCTYGTGTTTATGTTGCATCGCTTCTTTTCATAGTGAGAACACGCACTAGCTTGGAGTTGCGTCTGCTTGTGTCGCCTTGCGTCGCTAGTGCTCGTGAAGTCGCTGAAGTAAAGTAAGAGTTTTTCCTTCCTTCGTCGGTCATATTGTCACCGCTTCGTTAAATTCTTTTTTCACCTCGTACTTTTCAATTCTTTTCATCTCTCTTCTGCCTTGCGCTTCCCTTTTTTTGGGCCTCTAGCTTAACAGACTCGCCTCTTGTCTTATCTTATTTTCTCTTATTTCTTCTCCTTTCCTTTTTTCGTCCGTCTTTTCTTTTCGTTTAGTAAATATATATTTCTCTTGTTTGTCATTTATCATTATTATTATATTATATTTTAGTCTTCTTTTCCACCTATTATCCTTTTAATTTCAGTTATTAGTGTTACCTAGCTCGTTTAGCCCTCATAATTATTCTAGGTAACCCTTACCATTCTTCTGTAAATATATTTATATCTATATTTCTCCTTATTGTAATCTGTGGTACAATTAAAGCACATTGTTGTTGTTGTTGTTGTTGTTGTTATATCATGTCTGAATAAAATGGAAGTTGGAGTCTCTTGTATGTTCTTTCGCGTCCTATCCTCCCCTCTCTTGACCTCTCTCGTATTCACTTGTAAGAGTTTTACATTGTTTCAAACATTGCACTCCTCCACAGAGGCCTGACAGAGGAAAGTACTAATCCAGACATCATCTACGCGGTAGAGTTTGTATTCGTTCATATGATATCAACCGTCATGCTACTCTTGATATTCATACCAAAGGTAATAACCCATATGTATGTTGTATTGTCTTGTCTTGATTCTCACATCGATCTCTATCTGTTTTTAGTGCATCATCATAGCGCAGTGTCGTATTGACTTGTGCACGGAGTCGTGTCTTCATTCTATTCTCACATCGATCTCTATCTGTTTCTAGTGTATNTAGTGCATCATCATAGCGCAGTGTCGTATTGACTTGTGCACGGAGTCGTGTCTTCATTCTATTCTCACATCGATCTCTATCTGTTTCTAGTGTATCATCATAGTGTAGTGTCGTATTGTCTTGTGCACGGAGTCGTGCCTTCATTCTATTCTCACATCCATCTCTATCTGTTTCTAGTGTATCATAGCACAGTGTCGTATTGTCTTGTGCACGGAGTCGTGTCTTTATTCTATTCTCACATCGATCTCTATCTGTTTCTAGTGCATCATCATAGCACAGTGTCGTATTGTCTTGTGCACGGAGTCGTGTCTTCATTCTATTCTCACATCGATCTCTATCTGTTTCTAGTGCATCATCATAGCGCAGTGTCGTATTGACTTGTGCACGGAGTCGTGTCTTCATTCTATTCTCACATCGATCTCTATCTGTTTCTAGT